GAGAGTTAGTAGGTCAGATTCGATTATTTATGCACATTCATTGTTCAGATTTCGTTTTATAATAAGACAACTATTATTTATTTAAAATTCAATGTTTTCGAAGAATTATAAAATAGGTTGCAAGTAATTAAATGAAGTCGATGATCGCCCACCCACTTATCGCGTGAATATATCATCTCGGTCGCCTTTTTCATACGGCAGAAGCTAAAAATAGACTCAAGGGCGCGGATAAGGGTGCACTGGACTACTACCATGTCACGTAAGCCCTATGCCTCGGCCCTATTTTCTATATGTGTGCCGTCCGACGAAAGGCAGCACGGTATGTGTGAGTGCAGTGTCTGCTTCAAAATCGATACGAGTGTTCGTGCACTCTACAATGGTAGATCGTGCCTGTGAACGGAAACCACGTGGTGACGAAAACGTCAAAGTACGACCGATTGTGTTGTATGTTACTTTTTTATTAAATATCTTGTAATTAACGTGTCTGTCAGCCGTGATTATGATTGACAAAACATATCAATTAAGAAGGAAAGTACTTACAAAGAAATTAATTGATGCAGACATTGATGTACGTCTAGTTTATTATGTATTGTCCGTATAACAATTTCCAATTAATTATTACAAAATAGTCGTTTATGTTATAATCTTAGCTTCTGAGTTAATATAATACGTAAAATTGGTTTAAAAACATCTTTCTAAAATTGGTTAATTCGTATTAACAGAATTATTCTGACCTTAATATCTTGTAAGAGATATGTGTAAAACATATTATTGAATATTAATTATTGTTGAAGGAATTAAACTTGGACATTGCGAAAGATATGGTTGCAAAAAACAGGGCAGTTTTATAAATACACCTGTCACGTTTCTTTGCCGAAATAGTGATTCGATGACACAATCGGTGAATCATTTGTGCCTAATAAGAAATCGTTTTGGGTTATGCACTCGGTTCTCTGTGAAGACATGTCTTATCACAAATTCTGTTCTTGATTTTATTATTAATCCCACGGGGGATTTTAGCGATATATTTGAAATGATATGTTACGAATGTACTTCTACTTGAGATAAGTATGAAATTTAAACACGTATCATTAACGTACCAGATCAGTGGATGGGACTGTTTCACCTAAGTCTAACCTAACCTCGAAAAGTTGAAGCCGATGCGGCGCCCAGCTGTCACATGTGCGCATCTTTATACGTGTCAGTAATTTCATCCTTTTAACTATTCAGATTTTTAGTAGGAAATATTACTTTATTCAAGTCGATATTAAAAGACAACACACCGGTATCTATGGAAATCATTTCCATCGATTATACAAAGTACAAGGTGATTATATATGTACGTATGTAATACAAGTCACACAAAAATCGAACTACATTTTTCGTAAATTTCTTAATTTCAATATCAGATTCAGTGTTCAATTTTCTAGAAGTTTCAAAGCTTCGATTAAGAATTTTGATCGGGCCGATGCCAAAAGACAGTTTTCATACGTGATCACAGAGTTACAGTGATTACAGATATATATCCACGGTTAATGAAGTAAGTAAAACGCTTTGCATCACTATATACGTTACAACACCACGTGATAATAAGTTAACCTTTACTCTTCGAATCGGTATCACATGACGCATCTCTATTTACTTTCTTCGTTATCGTAGCAAGCCGGCAATAGGAAGAATTAAATCCAAGTAAGGTGGAGATGCATTGTGGGCGGCCTGAAAACCCAATGGTTGGTCTGCAAAGCCTCGACCTTGCTTACCAAATAAGGTCCCGTTCAAGGTCTTCGAGGCCTTGCGTAAGGCTCCAGCTGTGCCATCGGCATAACGATTAACCGATTATGTCCACGCTTTAGTCATCGGCCGTTTTCAGTAAAAGTGTTTAGCTGCAGTTAGATGATCAGCTTATTTTACCACTGTGTTTCCTTTATCACCGTGAGATCCCTGATTCCGTTCTATGGGAAACGTTCGATTTGGGCGTGTCTGCCCTGCACGGACACGTGCCGTAGGTAACGTCTGGCTCCAGTCGCGCAGTGCCACCGAAATCAATACGGAATGCGACGGTAAGTTCAACGCACCCACCCAGAAGAGTGCTTAAGGTTCTTTCTCATCGGACTAGCCGCGTACATTCGGTCCAGACAGTGAAACTATCGGGAATCAACCCCGTAACGAGGTCAAAGACCTTGTACAACACATTTTTCATCAGTCGAGAATATCAGGAAATGTCGGACAATTGAAACAAGTTGAAAAGGAAGGAAGATTTTTGTGAAAAATAATTGTACGAATTTCCTTTAAATAGATTTAGCATAAATTCAGTTATTTAATCGGAAATTTTTAATTATTCTTTTGCACGTTAGTTCACTTGATATCAATTGATTTGTAAATGACAGATAATGCTGTGAGAGAATTAACTGTATCAAGTTTTCCCAGAGGTCGTTATCGCGTTCGCAAATGTCCATTCTAATAAGAAGATTACACGTTGTAGAATTCCTAGTAAGATAATTTAATATTGCGAGATTAGTACAAGTTATCTAAATCTTGATAGATTCTCGAGGGGTGATACAGGCGGGAGATTTTTCAAGTAGTAGGTACTTTAATTCCCTTTGAATTGCATGCTAACACATACTTCACCGATGCTTCTTTACTTTCCCTTGGATGGGAACAAAAGAAATCCCTCTTACGTACTTCTGTTCTCCTCAAGGTACCAACCAAGTGGCTGTTCATGCGTAATACTTGAATTGTCCTTAAGCAGAAGGTAAAAAATTCCATTGAACTGTTTCATCTTGTATCATGATTCTTTTAATTCATTTCGAGGGTAAACGTACAATCAAATCTTAAATTTAATTTTATTAAGAAAAAAATTTCCATTCTTAAAAATCGATATTTTACTTATGTAACAGTGAATTGATAAGATATGACTGATTTATTGGAAATTGTATCTAGGAAATATTGTGTTGAAAGGATAAATATAAATATCTATTCCATGTAGATGTAATTAAATCTAACAGTTTGATTGTTGTTTTGAAATTTTCAGATATAGTTATGCTTGGCTAATTTTTACTCTCCAGGTACACATCTGCTGTGATGATAATTTTCAATTATGGTTAAATAAGAGATAATTGTGTATGCGATTAATTTCTAGTCACAGTCCTCATTGGCGATTGCCAAGCATGCGAGGAATCCAGCCAGAAACGCGCGATAATACGCGATCACTATATTTAGTGTTGACTTATGTCTCGTTAGATCAAGAAACAGTGACGTCTGAGCAGCTGACGATAAAGAGAACGATAATAGTTCGTGTATAGAAATCATACAACTTGTTATTCGCGTACTCTTGAAATTCTGTTTAAAAGATTCGTCGATGATTCAAACTTGATTTTACATTTGAAAACGATTCATCTCTTACTCAGAATACGTTGTTATTCATTCATCCCGTGTTCGTATAATACTTTTACTGTACGAGACATTCATAATCACAAGAAAGAAATAATTAAAAATAAGAAATTTTATTTTTTAGGCATATATTTTTTTACCTGTTATTAAAAATAGTAGTTCCTCAATTTATCGTGAACTTTGAAGATACCGTCATTTAGATTTTTAGCGCGACTTTTCTTCGAACAATCAAAGAAGGAAAGATATAATCGATTGCAATACCTTTTTAAATAAAACTTTGATACGACGATGTTATTGTAAGAGTGAGAGAGTAATTGATAATTCCTATAGAAATCATACTTCAACATTTTTCTTTTGTCTGGTGATATTTTCAACGAGGTGGATAAGATATAAATCGTCAATTCTGATACACATGTATCTAATAATCTATCAGGTTTTGCGCACAAAGTTCTCGCAAGCTGATAGTAAAATCACATTTCGAAAGATGACCTGAAATATCCGCGCAAGAATGTTTTATTATTAATGTTCCGAGCTTCCAAAATTTGTAACTTTTTAAAATCTCACGTTCGGGTAAATTAAAATTTAGTCTAACGCGAAGGTTGAAGTTCCAGGACCTTAGAAAATTTTAATGAAAATTTTCTCAATGCAGTGGCCATGGATTCGGGAAAGGAAAAGATGGATTCGTCAATGCCAGTAGGAAGTAACATATGTACTTTAGAGACTTGCAAAGAAGATTAGCGGGATGGTGGAGAGACACCGGACACGCTGTGTTACACGAGTTCGTTTCTATGTGGCCCGATAGATGTTCTTATATTTAAGAATGATAAAAAATATTCAAAACAATCAATCAGACTAGCATTCCTCGTCGTTCGTCTTCTTTCCAGCTGTGAATCGTCGAATCGAAGGTAAAAATGATGAACCACTCCACTCTTTAGCTGGCACGCAAGATCCGCGGTCTTCAGCTCTGACGAGTGACGTTTGAGATTCTTGGGATTTGACCTTGCACACGCGACTGACCCAGAACAGGTAGAACAACCGGTAAAACGTATGTGTTCACACACGTCGTCCGGCTGTTGCTTAGCGTTCTTGACTCCGTTTTTCTTGCGCGTATCTGCGTGTGTCTGCGAGAAGTCAAGGATTTGGAACACGGTCGTGGCTCGCTAGAATTACCAAAAATGGACGGTTTCGTCCTTCCGCTTATTCAAATAGTCGCGCGGACTGCAATCTGCGGGAATTCGAATGACTCTTGCGACACGTTACGTTTTGAAAGTATAAGAATAGACGCGATAAATAGATAATGTTTTTGTTAATTGAAAGAATTGCTGCAACGAGGAGATGGCTTCATCCTTGAATAATATTAGTAAATCAACGTGAATTCAAAAGGTAAATTTATGGCCAATCGTTACTCTGATAAACGACAATAATAAACTTTTACTTCGAGCTAACTTCTTTTTACGCATTATTATACCAAACTGAAATATTATACCAAAAAAAATATGTAAAAAATTGAGCTCCCTTTCTTTTCGAGTCTTCTATTTTAACGACAGTTCGATTAATTTTAATATATATATTCAGTATTTACGATATCATAAGATATTTCTAAAATTATAGAAAATTTTCTTTCCTTTTAAATTTAGGACGAATCAATGATGAAAGGAAATTCGAAGAAATTCCTGAGATTGATTTATTTGAATGATTTCAGAAATCGTTCTTGGAAGTCTGGCGCTGATGTTCCCCAGGAAACAATAAGCAAGGAAGAGCAATGCATCGTGTTATTACGAAACAACGAGCATGAAACACGAAAGCGTAATACGTCAATCATTCGCGAAAGTTAATATTCCTTGTACTACTGATTTTAAACGATTATTTATATTATATATATATTATATATATATAGGAACGCTTATGCTCGAGCTTATGTGAAGATTAAACAAATAAGATTATATCGTGTCACAATGAACGTGCTATAAAGGAAAATGTTCCTTCTGGTAATTATCGTTAACATAGTATAATTACTTTATACTTTAGTATAACAACATGTTAATATATTATTTTTTAATAATACAGAAAAAATGATTAATTTTCATTCTTCGATTGCAGGGATCTATTTGTTAAAATGTTTTTGTTAAAAATATTTGAAAATATCTAAAATATGTCTATATTTTTTGAATCAAGGAAAATTAATTACTGAGATTAAATTATAATCGAAATTATGTAACAATAATTTGTATATAATAGAGTTTTATAACAACAGTAACAATTTAGACCTATATATTTGCAAGGTACTTCAATTTCTCAGAGTGTAGTTTTTTCACATATTTTTTTTTTTTTTTTGTTTTTTACTATTTTTACATATTTAATACATTGTTATATACATTTCAGTTTAGTTCTCCGAAGCTTCCAAGCTATAAATAATAAAAGTTCGCACGTTGCTTTTTCACGGCGAAGTTGCTCCGCAACACACTAAATATATTCCAGCTTTTTCTCGTTACCGTTGGTGTCGAGTTTTGCGGTGAAACGATAGTCGACTATCGTTCTTGATTTGCTTCTTTTCAAGAAACTTATACGCTCGGCTGAGACACAGCCAGCTTGAAAACTGGGGAACATCTCCGTTTACTGATACAAACGAACTGTCGTCGTAGCAATTTCTTCGCACATCGTCTCATCCATTTTCTGCTCTAGTTTCCATCGACGACGCGACGGAAGAATATCTTACATTGCGTCGTTCGATTTTTCGAAATTACAACGTTCCCTAGCTATTTTCTGATGAACGACTCGTCGAAGCAAAAAAAGGATCTCCGAAACGATCGACGTCCGCTTTCTGTTCTCACAGTGGCATTGTAAGCGGCCTGTAAGAGGATTCGAGGAAAAGTGTAATCTCGCGAAGAGAGCTTCTAATGGAAAGAAATCACTCGGCGAAGAAGTTCCCGTTGGTCACAGTTTCCACATCTTCTACCTGTATGTTGTCCTTATATATACGTTAGGCCAAGTGCACTGTTCTCAATGCATATGAAAGTGGAACAGTTGTATAGCTGGATATGTTGTCTAGATGGCAAGACGACGACCGGTGTCCTTGTTCAGAGAAGCAAGGTCTTGCCTTATCTGTGCAACTTTGGAGCTTGTTAGCTATCCACGTACACAAGTAGCTCAACCGGTCCTCTCATTTACCATTCATAGAAATATTCAGAGTCTTAATGGCCTACAATATCGTGCTCATACTTTGACCTTTTTGAAATTGACAACATCAACATGTACATCATTAAGAGTTGAAAAAACCAGTTGAAACGTTGAAATATGATTGTAGTATTTCTATAATGATTATACATTTTATACAACAGTGACAGTAATAGTTAAGATTACATGGATTTAGTAGTTAGCAAAAAGATGTTTTTGCTTGGTTTTTAGAATCAAGTACGTCTCTATTGTGTTGGTCATAATTGTTTCATTGAACTTTGAATATTAAGGCGAGATGTTCTTCATCGTTATTGGTATCAGTTATGTATCTTCACTGTATGTCCTTATCATCCTAGTCAAAATCGACTGTGTGTTACTACTCTTTTATAAAATTTCACAAAATTTATTTTTAGAAGACCTACATCTTCGACCTAGTATATCTTTATATAATTATATTGTAAGTATCTTCAATGACATCGCTATTACGAGTCTTGATATTTGTGTCACACGGGGGAGGTCCAGATTAATCGGAAGGGATCCTAAACGTTCCAGAGTTAATGCTTACACGCGTTGCAGTTGATTACAATTAGCTCACCCTATACATGTGAGAGTTCACTCTATCAGTGTAGACGCTATGTAGGTCGTCTCTTCCAGTTAACTGCATCTTCTTTGACAGTGTCAACTACTTTCGAATTTTCAAATCATTTTCTTTTCTTTTTTTTTTTTTTTTTGCACATTTTAGCGATATCTTTTTAACAACCTTTAACTAATGACAGATTTGTGGAGCAACATTATTCCACATTATATCAAGTTATCAATACAGTTTTATCATACTCTGTAGTATTTTTAATTTCTTGGAAATTGAATCAGTGAGAAATGAAGAATATTGTAAAGTGATTATATCCTTCTAACGGGCCCTACTCACGAACTGTAAATAAAAATTCAAGAAGCATTCGTAGTTATAAATAGCCATTTCCGCTTCGCCAGGCAGACAGGATCGATGGACTCTTCAGCTTTGTCGAAGGACGAGCCACTTCGAGGACCTTCATACTTTCTATACATTTCGAATCGTGCAAGAGGAGCATTCGAATTTAACTCGCTCATATTTTAGAGAATATCGACAAGCAGTTCTTTTAATTTTTTTTTTTTTT